AGATTGAATATCTACCCTCGGGGCTCTTCCAGAAACAACAAAAAGCCACTACGGGTGGCCACGTGGAATGTTCGAACGCTCACTGCGGAGGAGAGGCTGCCACTCCTCTGTCGGGAGCTGGACCGGTACCGCCTGGATCTCTGCGGCATTCAGGAGGTCCGGTGGACCGGCTCTGGCTCCTGCCACCATGAGGGGTGGACAGTCCTCTACTCGGGGCAGTAGACTGCCAAACAACAGGGTGTGGCTCTTCTTTTGAACAAAAGAATGAAGGGGGCGTGGGAGCGTGGCGGTGAGGTGTGGGAAGCTGTACGCCCCAGGCTACTTTGGGCTCGCCTTCCCATCAACCGGAGGCGAGGAATGGTGGTCGTGGTTACTTATGCCCCCACCGAAGATGAACATCCATGGAGGGATGCAGGCAAAGCCGATGAGTCAGATGCCTTCTATGACCTCCTGTCACAGGTGCTGGCTTAAGTGGCCCCTCGGGATAGAGTCATCATGTTGGGTGACTTCAATGCCCGATTTGGTCATGATACTGGCACCTGGTCTGGAGTGATTGGAGGGCATGGGCCAGATCAGCTCAATAACAACGGTAGGAGGCTGCTAGATTTTTGTGCAGCCCATGGGCTTGTAATTACCAACATGCTGTTCCGGCATCGGCGCATCCACACAACATCATGGATGCATGCCGGGTCCAAGCAAGAACATCTGCTGGACTACATAGTGATGGACCAGCGGATGCGAGCCCATGTCCTTGACACCAGGACCTACTGTGGAGCTGATCTGCCCTCTGACCATCGACTAGTCATCTGTAAGATGCGCCTGCCATTCTTCCACTCCGGTGGTGGGTGTACACCCAGGACCCCATTCCGACCTAAAGTGGCCTGGTCTCAGTTATCTGATGAAAGTTGCAAGCGAGAATTTTATCATCGCTTGCGGCTGGGATTGGCATCGTCCCCGACTTCTCCTGATGTCGAGGGTAAATGGGCGAGGTTTAGGACTGTGACTCATGCAGCTGCAATGGCTGCTTTGGGTACGCAGTCCAGATCTCCCCAGAGACCCTGGCTGACAGAGGAGGTGTTCAGGATGGTTGAGAAAAAGTGACAGGCCCACTGTCATCGGCTACAGAATCCCACGTCAGAGAATGAGGAGGCTTACCGTAGCCTTCGCTTGGAGGTTTGGAGAGCCGGGAGGCGCTGCAAGGATGGGTGGTGGTCGTGGGTTGCTGAGGAAATGGAGTCTGCCTCAGTGGCCCGTGATCACAAATCTCTATTTAACTCCATCAAAAAAGTAACCTGCAGCACCACACCTATTATCATCATTAGGGGAAAAAACGGTGATCCAATCTCCGACCCCCAGGAACAGGTTTGCAGATTTGCTGAGCATTTCTGTGAGGTCCTGGGGGAGGGAAAATCCCTCAGTCAGGAAAACATCGTGGCACAAAGTGAGGATGACTCTGCTGAGGCTGCGGTGCCTCAAATATTGGAAAAAGTAACTCCCTGTGAGTGGCTGGCTGAGGTGCCATCTGTTGAGGAAGTACTGAAGGCGATCCGGAGTCTGAGACCAGGAAAGGCAGCGGGCAGAGATGACCTCCCAAGCGAAATCCTGAGGGAGGGTGGCGTTTGTGCACAGACTGCCTTATATGACATTATAACAACGGTCTGGACCACTGGATGGGTTCCGCAGGATTGGAAGGATGCCCTGGTGGTTCCCCTCCTTAAGAAGGGGGACCGCACAGACTGTAACAACTACAGGGGCATCTCACTCCTCAGTGTGCCGGGAAAGGTCCTGGCAAGGATTATTCAGCATCGCCTTGCCAGGCACGCTAAGGAGAGGCTTGCGGAGCCCCAATGCTGTTTCAGGAAAGGGCGGTCCTGCACAGATGCCATATTTTCTGTCCGTCTGCTACAGCAGAGGTGTAGGGAATTCCAACAAGACCTACATCTCTGCTTTAGTGACCTGGTCAAGGCCTATGATACCATCAGTAGGGCTGGGCTCTGGGTCGTTCTTCGTGCTTTTGGAGCACCTGACCCTCTGCTCACGATCATTAAGGACCTTCATGATGGTGAGCGGGCCCGGGTAAAACTACGTGGCCGGGAGTCAGAGCCATTCCCTGTACACCTTGGGGTGCGACAGGGATGTCCTCTGGCTCCCACATTATTTAACATCTATATTGACCACGTAGTGAGTGAAGCCTTCAATAGCTGTACCAGGGGAATCTCTATATGGTACAGATATAATGGGAGGCTGATCGATGCCCGGGTGCGGTCAAGGGATGGCTCCCTATTGCTCAACCACGTTATGTATGTTGATGATTTGGTAATAGCTGCTCAGTCAGAGGAGGAGTTGGAGACTTTGCTGCTGAAACTGGAGCGTGCCACTAAGAGGTGGGGCCTTACCATCAGCCCCACCAAAACTAAGCACCTGCCTGGGTATTTTGTACCATCGGACACTCCACCCCCACAACTCCCAATCGGTGATGGGGCAGTTGTGGAGAGAGTGGAGAGTTTACCATACCTGGGCAGTGTGCTTATGACTGGCTCCAGTTTAACAGCAGAGGTCTCACTCCGAATCAGTCGAGCGGCAATATCTTTTCATCGGTTGCGTAATGCTGTGTGGAAGCTACCTGGTCTGTCGCTCTGCACTAAGCTTCAGGTCTTCTCGGCCACGGTCATTCCCTCCCTTCTCTATACTTGCGAAACGTGGACCCCCCTAATGGAACATCTTCGCCGGTTAGAAACATTTAGGCTGGCCTGCCTACGATCCATCCTGGGTTTAACCAGACTGGATTGTGTGAGGAGCTCACAAATCCTTGAAAGATCTGGGCAAGGTCCCATCGGTGAGCTCCTCCGGTGGGCAAGGCTGCGATGGCTGGGTCATGTAGCCCGCATGCCCAGCCACCGCATGCCGAAACAGCTTTTGTTCGGCCGGATTGAGGGGGCTAAGCGGGCGCGGCATGGGCTAGAGAAGAGATGGAGTGATGTGGTACAGGAGGACGTGGAGCTGAGTGGACTTGCCGATGACTGGTACCAGCGGTGTCAAGATCGGCCTCTGTGGAGGAGGCTTGTGAAGGATGCTACTGGGCAGTTCGAGGGAGTCGCCCTCCAACAACAACGGAGGGCGGAGGAGCGACGCTCAGAACAACGAGCGGAGCGCCGGGTGGCTAAAGCACAGCAGGTTGGCACAGTAGGGGGCACAGGTGGTGCATCAGCCAGTCATCTCAGTCAGTCGACCCGTGGCACCTGGGTCTGCCCCGTGACCTCCTGCCAGTGGGCGTTCGACACTTCACGTGGCCTCAGGGTGCACATAGCCTGGCACAAGCGTCGTGGTGACGTCACTGCCACTTAGTGGCGAATGGCGGTTGTTGTTGTTGTGTGCTCAGCATATTTGGATGAGTCAATATGCATGTTTGCGTCCATGCATAGGTGTGTGAGTATGCATTAGTGTATGGGTGGAAATGCATGTTTGCGTGCGTGTGGGTATGATTTTGTGCATGTGTGGGCATGTCTGAATGTTCCTGTGCTTATCGTTGCGCATATGTACGAATAGAAGCAGCTCAAGTGTAGGCGCCCCAAGAACCAGAGGAGCATTCCGGAGGTGAAGAACCTCGGCGAGGTGAAGCGTCTCGAGGAAGAGAAGCACCTTGCAGAGGAGAAGCATCTTGTAGAGGAGAAGCACCTTGCAGAGGAGAAGCACCTTGCAGAGGAGAAGCACCTTGCAGAGGAGAAGCGGCTTGCAGAGGAGAAGCACCTTGCAGAGGAGAAGCGGCTTGCAGAGGAGAAGCACCTTGCAGAGGAGAAGCACCTTGCAGAGGAGAAGCGGCTTGCAGAGGAGAAGCACCTTGCAGAGGAGAAGCACCTTGCAGAGGAGAAGCGGCTTGCAGAGGAGAAGCGGCTTGCAGAGGAGAAGCGGCTTGCAGAAGAGAAGCACCTTGCAGAGGAGAAGCGGCTGGCAGAGGAGAAGCACCTTGCAGAGGAGAAGCACCTTGCAGAGTAGAAGCATCTTGTAGAGGAGAAGCACCTTGCAGAGGAGAAGCACCTTGCAGAGGAGAAGCGGCTTGCAGAGGAGAAGCACCTTGCAGAGGAGAAGCGGCTGGCAGAGGAGAAGCACCTTGCAGAGGAGAAGTGGCTTGCAGAGGAGAAGCACCTTGTAGAGGAGAAGCACCTTGCAGAGGAGAAGCGGCTTGCAGAGGAGAAGCACCTTGTAGAGGAGAAGCACCTTGTAGAGGAGAAGCACCTTGCAGAGGAGAAGCGGCTTGCAGAGGAGAAGCACCTTGTAGAGGAGAAGCACCTTGCAGAGTAGAAGCATCTTGTAGAGGAGAAGCACCTTGCAGAGGAGAAGCACCTTGTAGAGGAGAAGCACCTTGCAGAGTAGAAGCACCTTGCAGAGGAGAAGCACCTTGCAGAGGAGAAGCACCTTGTAGAGGAGAAGCACCTTGCAGAGGAGAAGCACCTTGCAGAGGAGAAGCACCTTGCAGAGGAGAAGCGGCTTGCAGAGCAGCGGCTCGAGGAAGTGAAGCGCTTAGTGGAAAAGCGCCTCAAAGATGTGAACCACCTCATGGAGAAGCACCTCGATGAGTTAAAGCATTTCATGGAAGTGAAACGTCTCGAGGAGGAGAAGCGCATCACCAAATTGAAGCACCACTGCCTCCGGACCACGGCCACCAGCACCACCGCCAGCACCACCACCAGCACCACCACCAGCACCACCACCAGCACCACCGCCAGCACTACCACCAGCACCACCACCAGCACCACCACCAGCACCACCACCAGCACCACCATCACCACCGCAAGCACCACCAGCACCACCGCCAGCACCACCACCAGCACCACCACCAGCACCACCACCAGCACCACCAACACCGCCACCAGCACCACCACCAGCACCACCACCAGCACCACCAACACCGCCACCAGCACCATCACCATCACCACCACCAGCACCACCGCCAGCACCGCCGCCACCTCCTCCGCTACCGCTACCACCACCACTACCACTCGTGTGCAGGGCCCAATCACACTGCACATTGGAGAAGATGTCTTTAGAGAAGGAGCCGCTGAGCCAGGGTAAGCAACTCTGCGTGTGTCCTGTGTGTATTTATTATTATTGTTTACGCAGGATAAGCATCACTGAGTCTCAAGACCTTTTTTCAGCAGGGTCCTGCCAAGTTTTGTTAGTAATCGGGAACAAATTTGCTGTTGTTTGCTATCCCAATTGAGTGATTTGCATTGCTTATGTGGGTTCAGTTATGGGGAGAAAGCTGCAGAGCCCACCCAGAACAGGGGGAGAGAACAAACTCCACACAGAGAAAGTGGCCCAAGTTGGGAATCGAACCCAGATCCCTCTAGCTATGAGGCAAAGATGTTCCAGCTCTGCCACCCACACAATCACACAGACAATGCAAACCCCACATGTACATTCGGCGATAGAAATGTTCTCCATAATTGGTTTCTGGGTGAGACCACGTAACAATGCGGTCATACATTCACCATGTAACCCTACATCCACTATGTTGTTGCCAGACTAATGCCCGTTTCCTGGCCAACTACCAAGTGTATTTTTACTGCACAAGGATAGCTGCCATTGGGAGGAGGGGGGAGCCCCCTTTCAAATGCATTGAGACGAGAAATGCAAGATGTGAGTGGCTCATCACGTGTAAAGCGCTCTGAGATGCCATCAAAGTCAAAGGGGTCAACTTAGTCGACCACGAATCACCATAGATATTTTTTCCACAATCGTGCATGGGTGAAGCGGGCCAGCGATAGCGGGTTCATCACTCACTGCTTACAGTTCAGCTCTGGCGTCCTGCCCTGGGTATTACTGCTGCTGCGTAAACCACAAAGACACGCACACCCTCTCCTTCGTAGCAGACGTTAAAAATCTCCCCTGATGTCATTGGAAATGAGTATGCCATTGTGTGCCAGGGATCAATTATAATACACATATACAAATGTCACTGCAAGTAATTCGATTGGATTTACACAGCAATGGCAGCCACTACTGTGAAACTACAGCAGTCTGTGTTAGATTCAGCAGCACCTTTCTTCGTGCTAGCCTTGCATTGAGAGAATGACAGCTGCAATGCCAAGCGTACTCACTGATTGTGATGTTTTGTGTGGTTATTAAATTCGAATTAATCCGCCACACAGTCCACCTACAGATTATGAGGAGACGACTGCGATGTCTGCCATAGCAGGAAGGTTGAACGGTGTCATGCGCGTCTCTTCACAGAGCGGAGCCAGCGCAGCAATCCTCGCAGGCCGTTGAAGAGGAGAGAGAGGTTGTGGAGAAGAAGATGAAAGAGGAAGTGAAGGAGGAGGTGAAAGAGGAAATGGAGAAGGTGGAGAGGGAGTTGGAGAAGACAAATGAGGAGATAGCGGTGGAGGACGAAGAGGACGACAAGGAGATGGAGGAGAAGATGGCTGTGGAGGAGGAAAAGGAGAAGGTGGTGGTGGTGGTGGTGGAAGAGATGGTGATGCAGGAGGTGGAAAAGACGGAGAAAGAGAAGACGGAGGAGACAGAGGAGGCGACGGGGAAGGAGACAGAGGAGGAGACAGGAGACAGAGTGGCAGGAGGCGGTGGTAGTGCAGGAACGAAAGGGCCTGGCTCGTGTGGCGAACGCGATCCGTGCGCTCTTCCGCAGCATGATGCTGTTTGGTTGCGGCCGGTCGACCGCACAGTTGAGGTGATGGAGGTGCCACTGGGACCGCAGCCGGGGAAGGAAACTGAGCAGCAGATGCCAGGACTGCACTGGACACTGACTGCTGCCAACAGACTAACTCTGTTAAGAGTTAGGATCAATCCAATGCATTATGTAATAATTATCATTGTTGTTTTTATTATAAACTTTATGACATAAACCTATGAGGAAACAATGTAACTTTGCATTGCTTGTGAGCGCTGCCTGGGTTGGTTCAATGTGCCTTGGCTCGTGTGCAGTGTCCCGGCTGTGTGTGCGGCGGTACAATGACAACTATGTCATGAGAGAAGTTTCAGGCAATGGCCCTTCTTCAGAACGTGTACAAGCAGTGGTGGGAAAAGATCATCAGGCGATTCGTCTGACACATCCACCCCTTCACTGCCCCACTGCCCCTCTGCCAAGCTGCTTCCGCTGCCTGCTGCCCCTCTGCCCACTGCCCCATTGCCTCACTGCCCCTCTGCCCACTGCCCCATTGCCTCACTGCCCCTCTGCCCACTGCCCCATTGCCTCACTGCCCCTCTGCTCCGCTGCCCCACTGCTTTGGTGCCACTCTACCCTAATGCCCCGCTGTTCCATTGCTCCACTTTCCCACTGCCATCACATCCATCACGAAGCAGCGAAACGTCCATACCACCTCATTAAATATTACCCTGATGTGCACGCAGAGAGAGAGACCCTCGTTTGGCATTGCATACTGGAGGGGGCTGCTGTGATGCAATGGCTCGTAAACTTCACTGGCAATATAGAGAGATTGCTGGTTCCACCTTCTGGCACAGCAGTTGAAACAAATGGTCGAGTATCTGAAGTTCCCCTGCCTTTGTCCGCCAAACAGTGCAACTGGGTACACCAAAATCGAGTGGCAAGTTGCGTGTGGTGGGTAAATGTGTGGATACTCCTTCCTCTTCAAAATCATCTAACGAGTATGGAAGAATAGACCAAAATATCGTTCAAACGCCTTTCTAGAGGTCTCTCTTGTGGAATTTCTTCCTGCCAGCAGAGGCATGAGAAAGCAATTGCAGGACTGCTCCACATTACCAATTGCCTTGGCAAAGTATTACAATAATGCTGCTTACTAAACAGGCTGCATATGTATTTAACATGGGGGGGTGTTGATTGTCTAGAGATGGTCCAGTGGCTCAGAGGTCAGAGCACTAAAATGGGGTTGAATCCAGGCATTCACCTACGATTAAAGCAGGTTCTCAAGTCTGGTGAATTAATGGTCTCAGCGCGGTTGCCATTGACTGCACATAATACACCATCACATTACTGCTTGGGTGAGTGGGAAATTGAGTAAGTGGGTGGGTAGGTGGTGGATGAATGAGTGCATCGGTGTGTGGATGTGTGGGTGAGTGGATGGGTAATTGGATGCGTAATTGGATGAGTTGGTGCCTGGGTGAGTGGATGGTTGGTGGTTGAATGGGTGGATGGGTAATTGAATGAGTGGGTCAGTGTGTAGATTGGTGGATGTGTGAATCTGTTAATGAGTAAGTGGGTGATTGAGTTGGTGAATGATTAGGTGGATGGATGAGTGAGTGGGCGGGTCAGTGAGTTAGTTTGAATGAATGAGTGGTTGAGTGGCTAATTACATGAATGGGGAGGTGGATACATTATTTGGTGCTTGGGTGGGTCAGTGGGTAATTGAGCGAGTGGGTGAATGAGTATGTGGGTGAGTGGATTTTTGAATGAGTGATTGGGTGAATGGGTGAGTTCGTGAGTCTGTGTGTGAGTGGGTAATTGAGTGGTTGGATGGGTGAGTGGGTAAATTAGTGTGTGAATGAGTGGTGGGTGAGTGGGGAGGTGATTGGGTGGGTGGGTGGATGAGTTAATTGGTGGGCGAGTGGGTGCGTGGGTGGGTGAGCGGGTGGGTGAGTTAGTAGGTGGATGGGTGAGTGAGTGAGTGGGTGGGTGAGTGAGTGGGTGGCTGGGTGAGTGGGTGGGTGAATGGGTGGGTGGGTGAGTGAGTGGGTGAGTGGGTGGGTGAGTAGTTGAGTGGGTGGGTGAGTGGGTAATTGAGTGAGTGGGTGAATAAGTACGTGGGTAAGTGGTATTTGAATGATTGAGTGATTGGGTGAATGGGTGAGTTGGTGAGTGTGTGTGTGAGTGAGTGGGTGGGTGAGTGAGAGTGGGTGGGTGGGTGAGCGGGTGAGAGTAGGTTGGTGGGTGGGTGAGGGTGGGTGGGTGGGTGAGTGGGTGGGTGGGAGATATAGTGAGTGGATGAGTGGGTGGGTGAGTGAGTGTGTCGATATGTGGTGAGTCTGTCCCTGGTGAGTGTCTCTGGTGAGTCTGAGGACCAGACACTGTTCTGACCATTCCGTCCCCTTCGAGCGCCTTGCTGGCCTTCATCGGGGCTCACTACCAACATGAGCTGCCCCAGATATGTATATAAGAATCAAAATCTGAATATGTAATCATACTGGAGGAATCCGATGAGCTATACAGCTTTTTTCAGAGATGTCCAGTAGGGACGGCTTTGTACGTTACAGCAACAAACAATAAAAAAACGATCGGAGTGCAAGGCATAGGAAAAGTAAACAAATCACAAAAAAAAGAATAAACTAAGCAATTTTTTAAAAATGTTATCAGGTAAAGTCCAATGAGGTATTAGCTTATTTTTCAGAAGCCACTTGACCACAAATGATAACTCATGTATGGGGGCAGCTATTGAAGGCTGAATTTCTTTCGCACCGTACATAGCCAACCGTGCTAATCGGAGGTGCCGGGGAAGGACAACAAAAGTATTAGGTTAGGATCAGGGCTATAGTTCAGGGCTATAGGGTCAGGGCTACAGGATGTAGGGGCACTGCAGGTTCTCCACAAGGCACGTGATGCCCTCTAGTGGACAAACGCATAACTACAGCTGCTGCTGCAGCTCAAGGAACAAGATGACCGAGCTGTACAGCCTCCACATCGCCACTTCCCCACGCACACAATGCGAGTGGTGCTACTCAGCCGCACAAGCTTCTGAGAGTGCATCTCATCATCAACATTAACTCAACACAAGCAGCACCCTGAAACAGGCTTCGTCTCTCAGTGTCTCATCAGCAGTCAGGCTCGCTTGAACTGGTGAACTGCCAGATGTTACTGAGAGGGAACCATTGTTAGACTCGCCTTTTGCCCGTCCAAGGACGGGTGTATTGCAGTAAATCTGAAATTTGCAAGCGAAAAAGCAGACCACGACGTGATATTCATTGCATTAATGCGTGTGTCACTGCGCCCTTACAAATTGCACAAACAGATGTTCTGTACTTTTGAGGCATAAGCAATTGGAAAATAACACTATCCAGGAACCTATTTTTTTGTTACACAGTGATATTAATGAGGGGAGTTGTTTGATGTGGAGTTACGTCACCTGCTCATGATTATTTATGGGGGAGGGCGCTCCATGTGGAGTGACGTCACATGCTCATGATTCTTCTTGGTTCTTTCGGTAAAGTCACGTAGAATGGAAATAAAATAATAATAATAATAAAAATTCCCACGAAGTTTCGGCCACAACACAAGTAGCCTTCCTCAGGTGAAGAAACAGAACTGTCGGGAGGAAGACAGCGCTTCAGTGAACACTGCCAGGCTTGGCAGCGTCTTTTAAGCTGGGTGGGAGAAGCAGAGCACCTTGACAAAGGAGTTTACATATCAACAGTAGCTGTGTTAATGTGTTGGATTAGCAGAATGTTAAAGTCAGAAAATAGCATGTAACTGGGGGATTAGCATGGATGTTAAAGTCAGAAATTAGCATGCTAATCCCCCAGTTTCATGCTAATTTCTGACTTTAACATCCTGCTAATCCAATTTCTGACTTTAACATCCTGGTAATCCAACACATTAACTCCTCCTCCTCCGTTCCGAACATAGATGGACTCGTCAGTCTGAACAAAGCTCGTCGCTCTCCGTGGTGCTAATCCCTCATACTAACATCATGCTAATCCCCCAGTTACATGCTAATTTTATGACTTTAACATCCTGCTAATCCAACACATTAACACAGCTACTGTTGATATGTAAACTCCTTTGTCAAGGCGCTCTGCTTCTCCCACCCAGCTTAAAAGACGCTGCCAAGCCTGGCACTGAAGCGCTGTCTTCCCGACAGTTCTGTTTCTTCACCTGAGGAAGGCTACTTGTGATGTGGCCGAAACGTCGTGAGAATTTATTTATTTATTATTTTTGTCATTTTATTTCCATTCTACGTGACTTTACCGAAAGAACCAAGAAGATGAATCTCTGCAGTCACGAAAGCTTTAAATCGAAATGCTCATGATTCTTAATGAGGGATGGGGGGGTCCATGTGGAGGACGTAACCTGTTCATGATTATTGAAGGGGGCTGTTCGATGTGGAGTGACGTCACTTGTTCATGATTATTGGTGAGGGGGGGAGTACTCCATCTGGAGTGACGTCACCCGCTCATGATTATGAATGAGGGGTGGGGGTGTGTCCATTTGGAGGACGTCACCTTCTCATGAATATTAATGAGGGGGGCTGGTCGATGTGGAGTGACGTCACGAACGTTAAGGACATACATTCCTGGGTGATTATAGTAGATATATAACAACCGCCATTCGCCCCTAAGTGGCGGTGACGTCACCACGACGCTTGTGCCAGGCCATGTGCACCTCGAGGCCACGTTTAGTGTCGAACGCCCGCTGGCAGGAGGTCACGGGGCAGACCCAGGTGCCACGGGTCGACTGACTGAGATGACTGAGATGACTGGCTGATGCACCACCTGTGCCCCCTACTGTGCCAACCTGCTGTGCCCTAGCCACCCGGCGCTCCGCTCGTTGTTGTGAGCGTCGCTCCTCTGCCCTCCGTTGTTGTTGGAGGGCAACTACCTCGAACTGCCCAGTAGCGTCCTTCACGAGCCTCCTCCACAGAGGCCGATTTTGACACCGCTGGTACCAGTCATCGGCAAGTCCACTCAGCTCCACGTCCTCCTGTACCACATCACTCCATCTCTTCTCTAGCCCGTGCGGCGCCCATTTAGCCCCCTCGATCCGGCCGAACAAAAGCTGTTTCGGCAGTGGTGGCTGGGCATGCGGGCTACATGACCCAGCCATCGCAGCCTTGCCTGACGGAGGAGCTCACCGATGGGACCTTGCCCAGATCTTTCAAGGATTTGTGAGCTCCTCACACAATCCAGTCTGGTTAAACCCAGGATGGATCGTAGGCAGGCCTGTCTAAATGTTTCTAACCGGCGAAGATGTTCCATTAGGGGGGTCCACGTTTCGCAAGCGTAGAGAAGGGAGGGAATGACCGTGGCCGAGAAGACCCGAAGCTTCGTGTGGCGTGACAGACCAGGTAGCTTCCACACAGCGTTACGCAACCGATGAAAATATATTGCCGCACGACTGATTCGGAGTGAGACCTCTGCTGTTAAACTGGAGCCAGTCATGAGCACACTGCCCAGATATGGGAAACTCTCCACTCTCTCCACAACTGCCCCATCACCGATTGGGAGTTGTGGGGTTGGAGTGTCCCATGGTACAAAATACCCAGGTAGGTGCTTAGTTTTGGTGGGGCTGATGGTAAGGCCCCATCGCTAAGAGGCACGCTCCAGCCTCAGCAGCAGCATCTCCAACTCCTCCTCTGAATGAGCAGCTATTACCAAATAATCGGCATACATAACGTGGTTGAGCAATAGGGAGCCATCCCTTGACCGCACCCGGGCATCGATCAGCCTCCCATTATATCTGTACC